CATGGTTGAGATGGCCATACATAGAAACTAACATTTCGCTTGTGAATCGAGTAACTTTTATCTCTTTTTAAAGAATAGATAAATCTTGGTGGAAAAGGGCAAGAACTGATGCTGTTTTACTCCGCCTTCCTTTTAAGAAAAATAGGCAACTCCCTGAAAGGCAACAGTTGGTATAAGCATGGAGGTTCTCTTTGGGGCCAACTGAGATTTTGTATTTGAGGATTATATCCATAGATTGGTCAAATTGAATGAGTTGTGAAAAAATGTATAACATGACATAATTAGATGTGGTCAAGGAAATGCATACTGCCGGTTGGGGCATAGACTTTTTGGAGGTTAACTTGAACCTTCGAAGCTTTTTTGCCAAGTTTGGATGCTAAATGTTTTTATATCTCACTAACAGCTAAAAATCAGTGTGATTTGGAAATGCTTCTAAACTAAATTAAGTGGTAGATTTTTTTTTTGACTATGAAATTTGTCTGCCTGTAGACGGCTTTCGCATCTAATTGTGAATTAATGGACTCTCCACTTTAATGTTCTCTGTCGTTTTCTTGTGAAACATTTCTTTGTGTTCTTTGGGTTGATTGGGGAAACTCAGAGCCTGTTTTATTCAGAGTCCTACCTGATTGGCTTAAATCAGTTCCCACCTTTTGGTTTTGTTTTCTGATTTGTCTTGATTGCACGTATGGTAACTTTTTTACCATGATGTATCCAATATAGGCATGACGCTGGCCTAATTTGAGCTATAATAGTCCTTCTTAGTTGACCTTCCAAGAAAAAGTAGGCAAAGAGATTATGGCACATATTGGGGCTTCATTAGATGTAAGCCTTGGCTCTCTTTAACCAATCAAGATGGAGCAATTATGCTTGAGTATACATATAGGACTTTGATAGGATATATACTGGTGATGCAGATATGAATGTGTATATTTCTTGATGATCAAAGTTTTGGTAAAAAAGATCTTAGCAAAGTTCTCATAAACAGATTTTCAAGTAGTTAAAATGGAAAACATTTGATGCTTCCTTGTCTACCTGATGCATATTAATGTTTACGTGCATTTGCCCTTTTTCTTTTTCTAGAATGCTAAACCATGTGCGTACTTGTGTTCATAACCTATATTTCAGGGTTACATGTGAAGAGAATGAAGAAAGAGCAAGTCGCAGGGTCTACAGGGGCTGTTCCCGATCTCCAACATGCAAGGGTTGCACGTCTTGTGTCTGTTTTGGTTGTGAAATCTGTAGGTTTTCAGACTGCAGCTGCCAGACTTGCTCTGATTTCACTAGGAATGCAAAAGCTTAAGTTAGCAATCTCACCAATACATCCCTTCTCAAATGCTTACATTTCCATTTTGTTTGGTAGATGTTCTACCAATCATTTCTTAATTAAACCTTAGCTGATATTCACAGAAAGCTCTCTGACATTCTCTTAGATCCAATTTAAATTTCAGTCTTCAGCACAGGTTGCTGTGTTTTTGTTGACTGATCAATATTTTAAAGTATTACAATATAACTCCTTTGCTCGCCATACTATAATTAAGAGGAAAATTGATTCTTTATATCTAGTCTTTCATTTATCGGGTTAATTTATGTTTAAAACTTCCATCTTTCCATCTGTGTATGATCACGGTAAAAGCTAGACTTGAATCACTAGAGTGATAAATTGCTGAAGCATGATATGTAATGCTAGCTCAAGTAAGGCGCCAGGCATGCCTAATTGAAGGTTTAATCTATTGCTTCATCTGCAAAATTTTGCTGTTGTTATTGGCCAAGGAAGAGCCTTGTCAGGCTGCTGGCTCTAATCTACTTGTACTTCAAACTGACAGAGAATCTATCTTGTTCTTTCTTCAGTGAGTTCCGCTGCTTCTATGGGGAACTTAAGAATTTAAACAATGTTCTACTCTTTCACCGCAAATAGTTCACTAAGTTTCTCCATTTCTGCTTACTACAATAAAAAAAGTCCTATTTCATCTTGATCTAACTTGAAGTAAGCTCGGTTTGGCTATCTCCACGATAGGCAGGCATTTGGAGTACTGAAGGTTTCTGTTATCTTCAATCCTAGTGAATGTCTCAATTCCAGACATGGATTTGCAGTTATGAAAGGCTTTTGTTTAACATCCAAAGCTGTATCAGATACTGCAGATGTTTTTAGCATGTAGAACACAAATCAATTGCGAATTAACTAGAATTTCCAATTCTGTTCCACATTCATTTGAGGTACTTTCTTGTTAATGATCTTTTTGCGGTTTGCAGGCAATCAAAGTGAGCTTCCCATTTACATATGATATAAGAAGACATACTTGAAACATTTCAGTAAAATATTTTGAAATCTAAGAATTGTCAAACAATTCCACGGTGTAAGAATCTGTTACAATGTACTAAGAGCTAGACCATTACATGCATAGAATCTCATAGATGATGAAGAACTTGTCCAATATGACATTTAGTAATCACGCAAGCACTTCGCTTAATGTTAGTCAACAGTGTGTTAACAAGCTACAAATTCCTACTTCGGCCAATGGCCAAGAATGAGATCCACGTTTTCTATTTCAACACCCCTCCCCCTAGTGAAGTTATGCAAGTCGAACGCTCGATTGCTCGACTCATTTAGGTTCGTTCGTGTTCGATAACGACTTGTTCAAAATTTTATATGAGTTGAATTCAAACAAACATTTTGACTCGATAAGTAATCGAACGAGCACGAGCCTTATTCGCGAATTTAAATGATCATTGGTGTAGCCTAATTGTCATTTCACAAAATTTAGGGTTATATGGTTAATTTAATGTTGAATCTATTGATTATTTGAGAGAAAGAGCCTGAATTCAAGCTTCTCGAGCCTGTTCAAAATCGGTTCGTTATGCTAAATGAGTCAAACTTGAACTAGGATTTTAATTAACTGAACATGAACAGAGATTTCGAGTTCGAAAATTATCAAACGAACACGAGCCTTGTTCAAGTAACTTAACAAATAAAACTCAAACATGAGTGACGAATAGAACTCAAACATGAGATACTCGACTCGGCTCGCCTTGTTTACCACTCTATCCTCCCCCGGGGGCTTCCCCCCACAAGGAAAGAAAAAAGAGCTTTCGTTTCAAACTTATATAATGCAATTCATTGGTGAAAAGATAATTCAAAGTCAATCTGCTATTACTTGTACACATTCACAAGGGCAGCAAGTCCACGGCTAGAGAGAGTCATTAAAGTACTAATGGATTCTAAGTTGCACAAATTGTACAAACAACACAGAGGTCGCCATCATACGGCCATAGCAAGCAAGACTATGTTCTCTATGAACCCAAGCTGACACTTCCTAACCAAGTAGCATCCACAGAAACATGCATAATACAGATTAAATAACTAAGCCAATGCACAAAGCCATGAAACCAATCAACGAACTGAACTTAGCCATGTTGTTGCCTGCCCCTTCCACCTCCAAATTGACCACCACCCCTACGATTTGGTTTTCTACCTCCACGATAATGCTTACCATGACTAATGCTTCGGTACGTGTCCCGTTTACCAGTAAAAGATGCAAGTTGCTGTGGTTCATAATTGTGCATTGTCTGAGACATGTTTGCTGGAACTGCTTGTTCTCCTACATTTATGGGGAGGGAAGCCTGTTGACCTGGTGTAGTCACTCCAAATGGTAAACGGTTAAATGCATTTTGACTCGAGCATGAAGGTTCTGCACCAAAACCTGACTGCATGCCTGATATAACCAGGTTAGAAGGCAAATTTTGACTAGCATTAATTTGCTGTTGGAACGACAATATGTTCTGCGAAGGCATTTGATGAAGCTGATTAATTTGTTGCACCCATGGTTAACATTTACGGGTAACTGAGGAAAGCCAAAACTTAGAGGCTGCTGAAATGGGATTGCATTTGCCCCACCAGAAGTTGCGCTAAAACCAGAGCCCAAGGAAAGTTGGACAAATGGAGAACCCAAACCAGGCTGAAAAGCCAAACCTTGTCCCAGACCAGAGAATGACCCATTGCCTTGATCTGGTGGTTGAGCCAAAAGGGGCACATGATGCTTGGTGTGATCAAATGGTAGTTTACTCTCTCCAGAGATCCCTGTGGGTTAGCTGCAGGATCTTTCCTCGAATTCCCGGACCAATTTCCAATTGCAATCGATCCTTTTTCTGGTTATCGAATTTGTCATCATTTCTACGCATATTCTCATTTTTCAGTGTTTTACCATACTCTGCCTCATTTTCCGAGTTGCACCCTCCCACATAATAAGGATTTCTCACTGTTGGCATGCCATTTGTTGGTAATCCAGGAAAGCCAACAGTTTGAGGCTGCTGGAACGCAATGCCATTAGCCCCTCCAGACAACGCACTAAAACCAGCGGTTGATGCCAGTTGTACAAATGGAGGAGCCAGCCCAGGTTGACAAGTTGAACCTTGTCCTAGGCTCAAGGAGTGTAACCCATTGCCTTGATGCTGCGATACAACAGCAGGGGGAACATGATGGCTACTGTGGTCAACTTGTCGCTTAGCTCCCTCCATAGGTAAATGTCTGTTGACTGTAGAATCATATTTCGAGTTCCTAGACCAATTTCCAAATCTCTTTTCATCCTTTTTCAGGTTTCCAATTTTATTATCATTGGTGCCCCTTTTCTTGTTCCTCTGCATTTTTCTGTGCTCAGCCTCCTTCTCATCATCTGAAAATTCTTCTTCTTCAAATAATTCTTCATCATTTGCTCCTGATGCATCATATCCTTTTGAGTAAAGACTCTTATCATTGAGGACATGATTTGCAAATTCTGGAACAAAAGATATTGAAATGCCTGGTCGGATTCCAGCAGGTACTTCACTTTCTAAATTGTACCTAACAATGTAGTAAGGATTCCTCACTGGACCAAAAATTTCATCCACTAACCCAGTGCGGACCTGCTTTCTGTAATCCACAATATAGAGCCCTCATTGAGAGGATTATGTTTTTCAACCCCTTCTACAATGACTTGAGCCCCCAACAACCTGTATGCTAGGAGAGTTAGTTATAAACTATTACATATTTGATTAAGTCACCATCTGCATTTTATGCTAGATAATTATTGGAAAAAAACAAAGTGATGCAGCATTTCACAATGTGTCCTTTGCAACTAGCTTTTAGATTGAATTGCTACTTGCTTCTATGATCTCACCGATAAAACAACTCCAACTGGCTGGATCTTATGGTGTGGTAGTAGGGCCACATTCACTGGAGGAACTGGAGGAAGAAGCTGCAGAAGAAAGATTTACAAAGTGAACTAATTGTTTAAATGTGTCTGCAATAATCCATGAACACAAAATTTAGAGCATAATCAATAAGAAGAAAGCAGGGTAAAAATCAAGAAATTTAGTCCACGTGTCATACACTAGCCACTTTCTTCAAAGTTTAAACTTAAATAGCTTGCTTCAAACCCCACAATTCAAGTTGAGGATTTTCAACTCTCCAAGTACAATTTACAGGATTAAGAGGAGCCTTAATAGTTATAAGCATCATGTTGTTAATGGCAAGGGCACTTCTGCGCTAGATCGAAAATGATCAAAGTGGTATTTAATAAGTAACTCTGAAGACACAAAATCTTGGCTAGTTGGTACTATAAATATAAAAAAATATATATATATATATATATTATAATATTATATATATATATATATAATGAATAGAGAGAGAGAATGATTATGGTACAGTTCTACTGGAGAATCTCCAATTTTTCCCTCCTTGGAATGTTCTTTTGATCACCTGTCTTTTTTTTTGTGTTTTGTTGTTTTTCTTTGGAGAGAGAGAGAGAGAGAGGCGGTTAATGCAAACATACATCGAAGCACAAATGTGACCAAGCTGATTGAGAAGAATAAGATTACCGTGAGTTCATTTTTGGACTTAGGAGGCCCCAACGTGGAAACGCCACTGCCACCCTCATCCTCGTCATATTCATCGTCACCGCTCCAGGCCACCATCTCTTCTGGGTCAGATGCGACTATCTCACCCTCTTCCATCTCTATATCTTGTCCTTTTCTTTCTTTGCTACTTCCCCACTTCTCCTTGCCATCGACTTCATCTTCGTCATCATCATCACTACTCCCGGATGATGAGGAAGAGGAAGAGGAAGATGAAGATGAACTTTCAATTTCACTGTCACTTTCACCCTCTGAGTCACTAGTACTATCACTCTCATCTCCTTCACTCGCATTCTTACCACTCTTTTCTTCAGTATTATCTGCATTCATCATCTCACTTGTTTTAGTGGTCTTCGCGCCAAAATTTTCAACAACACCGATCTCCTTACCACCAGTACCACTAATGTTTGCCTCAACACTTTTCACCACATCACAACCACAATCATCCTCACTATTTCCATTGTCACAACCCTCTCCACCTTGCTTTACACCAGTCAAACCGCCAAAAACAGAATCTGGATCGCTCCAACCTCCCTCCAAACTAACTTTCCCCATCTCTTCCTCAATAGAACATCCCAGGCCTCCCGACTTGATACCGTCAACCCCATCTATCCCCTCTTCAACCTTAATTTTATCACAAAACCTTTGACAACCCGTTTCACTACCCTTCTCACCTCCTACCAATTCAACCTTTCTTGACCCAAAGATCCCAACTTTCTTCCACCCTCTTCACCAACTAACCCAGCTGAACCTATTTCAAGACTTTTATCAAACATCTCAGATGCAACTTTTTCTGAGCTAAAACCAACGGAGTTTTCTCCCAAATCATTAGCCATACTCTTACTATATGGCTCTGGGTTCTCCTCAATCCAATCCTCGATGTAATCAAAATCAAGAAAAGAGTCTATACATGAGAAAGAAAGATCTTCAAGGCCTAAAACTGAGAAAGAAAGATCGTTTGAGCATTCTTTTTCTTCTTTTTTAGGGTTGGGACTTTGCAGAGAACCTACCATGTTCAAGAAATAAATTTAGGGCCTTGAGAGTCAGCATTAGGGATATTGAAAGCAGGAGTTTAAGTATATATATGCGTCTCTGGTGGCTCAGATTTTGCTGTTTGAAATTTGGGTTTGCTTGGAGAAAAGGTCGGATTCTATTTGCTTAAACCCTAATTGGCAAGGGTTTTAGAATGTGGGAATGTACTGTCTAGGAGAATATTGTGGTAGAGAAATTGACGTACAAACAAACAGAAAATGGGCTAGGCCCGATTTTAGAGCCTCGAACAATTTTAATTTGGGGCTAGCCCTGTGTGTACGAAGGGCTCGAACATCATTTCGGAGAATGTTAGCTCATTCTGGGCTATCGAATTCTGGGGCATTTTGGGTGAGACGTGTGGAGGTAGAAACTGAAACGGCAAATGGGACTTTATAGTTTATACCTTTTTTTTAATCTTTTTGGTCGAATAAATGAAACTTTACCTAGTCATAAATAAGAATTAATCTTTGGGAAAACGTTCAAAACGTCCCTCACAATTTGCAAAATAACTTTTTTCGTCCCTCACTTTTAAAAATGTAATTTTATGTCCCTTATAAATTCACATTGGTCAAATTTGGTCCCTACTTAGGTTTCCGACTAGTTTTTTATCGGAATCCACCATGTGACTTGGATGTGATCATTTTTTAAGGGCAAAATTGTCAAATCAAATTTTATATAATTCGATTCATAATCCCTCACATTTCATAAAAATAAATTTTTTCTCCCTTACATTTCACAAAATGAATTTTTTCATTCTTCACATTTTTCAAAATGAAATTTTTTCATCTTTTATTGATTATGTGTGTGAATAATTTTTTTTAAAATTCATGTATATATCTATTTGATTTCACTTGAACAGTACAAATAGCATGTAAAATCAAATAGAGATATATTACATACTATTCGTACTACTCAAGTGAAATCAAATAGATATATACATGTGTTTAAAAAAAATTGTTAGTTTTTCATTTATATTCATTTTCTTTTACTCGAAATTTGAAAATAAAGATGACATTTAATCCTAAATATTATCGAGTGTTTATATCGAATTAAATTTGAATAGAAAAAGTAAACAAAAGAAAAGTATGACAAAAAGAAATAAGTGATTGGTACTTTCAAATTTTAAGACAATCACAAGGCAAGTAATTTAACTGTTGGTCTTAAAAGTGTCGAATAGAAATTTCAGATTTAAACTGAAATTTGTTAGCACAATTATAGAATTCAAGTTAAGACCATTAATTAGATGACCTTATTATACAACTCAATAAATAAATTATTACCAAAAGAGAAAGGTTACAAATATTGAATAGGTTCAAATGATGAAATCATATAATATATACGTGGGTTTCAAACAAAATTATTAGTTTTAAATCCCTATATATATATATCTATTGAATAACATGTGTATAGCTACGATTAGCATGTTTAAATGAAATTCAATAGAGATAAATTACATGTTATTCATATTGTTCAAGTAAAATTAAATAGACATATACGTGAGTTTATAGAAAAAAAGTTATTCGTACACATGATCAATGAGGGATGAAAAAATTCATTTTGAAAAATGTGAGGGATGGAAAAATTCATTTTTTGAAATGTAAGGAACAAAACAATTCATTTTGTAAAATGTTAGGGACGAAAAATTCATTTTGTGAAATGTGAGGGACTATGAATCAGATTATGTAAAAATTTGATTTGACAATTTTGTCCTTAAAAACTAGTCGGAAACCTAGGTAGGGACCAAATTTAGTCAAAAACTAGTTGGAAACCTAGGTAGGGACCAAATTTAGTCAATGTAAATTTGTAAGGGACATAAAATTATACTTTTAAAAGTGAGGGACGAAAAAAGTTATTTTATAAAATGTGAGGGATGTTTTGAACGATTTTCCCTTAATCTTTCCTATATTATCAGTACATACATTGACAATGTTGAATGTATGCCACATCATTTGAATTTAAATTGAGCTTTAGTTTAGAATTTGTATATGTGACATATATCTAAACCTGCTAATATATACGCTATCAGTGTATAAAAGATTTACCCCATAAATAATGCGTCCATAGAATACAATAGACACAAAATTATGAAATTGAAAGGTTGGGGTTAGGAATATTTGGCATTGCATGATAAATAACTCTTTGGATGCAAGAAAATTATGTGGTAATGTTCTTTAAAAACTTTTTCACGATTCATCCTATATAATAAAGAAATAACTACGTGGCCTACCAAAATTAAAAAAAAAGAAATAATTATGCGACAGATTTGAATTATGACCTCCCAATCCATCCATCAAAGGAGGAAAAAAAAAAGGTGTCCCTCTACTCAATAGTGAGAAATGGAATTCAACAATATGGTCCTTGGTGATAATGCCATGGCAAATTTCAATGTGAAATGACAAATTATACTCTCCAATGGAATGCAAAATTGTCATTTTAGAAGACACTTACTTATTGTCGTATTAACATTTTTTTTTGGTCAAAAATTGTGGTATTAACATAAGTGTTATGGCAAAACCATTTGCCTAATACTCCCTCCGTCTCACTTTGATAGTTCTGTTTCCCTTTTTCGTCTGTCCCAAATTGTAGTCCACTTCCAATTGAAGAATGTAGTTATATTTTAATTTTCCTAAAATATCCTTATTTAATGTAAGTTGTTGTTACTATAAACCTACCCCATTTAACGAGAGTTGATTCTTTTTTTACCATCAATTCAAGTTCCCATAAAGTTGTACTCTAATTAATGTGAGGATATTTTAGGAAAATAGCTACCTAAATTGATTGTTCTAACAAAATTAACTACTTTTTCTTAAATTGTGTGAAAAAAAAAATCAAGACTATCAAAGTAAGACGGAGGGAGTATAATTGATGGCTTGTTTGACAAACCTATTGGGACAACTTTATCTTTCATAAGGGGAAAAAAAAAACTTTATCTTTGATGGGCTCCAGTACCAGTTGGGCATTGAGGGATTTCAATTTGCTTATAAAGATCAAGAAACATGTTACCATGGTCGGTTTTCTCTCCCATGTTATATGTTTATGCAAACCCTCTTTCAACTTCACTTAAACCTTACACATTTGATTGTAAAGTCTCAATCCTAATCATTCCTGCCACTTTAAAGACTGGTTATGTTTAACTTTGGTAGACATATTAATTAGTTTAGTACCTATAACCAGAGTGTCAAAGCTCTAATACCATATGGGCAGAGTGTCTTCACCCTTCTCTTTATTAACTTTGTCCATGCATCGTTCACAGCATTTTCATTTATTGGCGAAAGGGAAGGCTTTAAAGTCTGAAATGGTCTTGAATTCGGCGCTTCATTACATGGAAGATGAAGAGGGAAGAGAGAGGCAAAGACAAGTCAAAGCACTTTAATTTGCTTCAAGAAAAGGTCCCTTGAGTTGGTCCAAATAATAGAGTTGATATCATATATTTTTACTAATTCGAGTTCGAACCTCTCTTAAGATATCCATCCGTCGTACAGGATTTGCCTAGTGCGTCTTATTCCTCCGTGTGATTGACAGGCTATTATACGAGATAAGATTTACCTAATGCACACCGCCAAATAACAGGTATGGGTGGTTTATCAACAGAGATAAGTCAACTACACTTTGACATCCCACTTGGAACATGGTATAAATTCCCAGCGTCAATGAATGCGTAGAAAATTTTTGTTGGCTGTTTTTTTTTTCGATAATAAAATGTTACTTATCTTTTATGTATTGCCAATTGGCCATATTACTCAAGGGACTCAAGTAGGTCTGCGACAATTTCCAAGAAAGGTAGGTCGATCACTATTCTCTCAAACTGACACGGTCCAAAATCATGCAACAGCAGCATAATAATAATAATATTAGCGGTAGGTTATCCACACAAGTCGTAGTATGAGAAGGATTTCTCATGCACATAGCACCGGAAACTAGACGTTTTTTTCAAGAACTTGGCACCTAAAACATGCTATACCTAAGATATATGCTACATGGGAATTTCCCATTGTTGAAATCCTAACAGAAAATGGGAAAAAATTAGTAAAGAAACTAATGCACTTTAGCCTAAGGTTGCTTAAGCTTGAACTGAAAATGTGCTGACTGAACTATATATATAGAGAGAGAGACAGAGAGAGAGAGGTGAGGAGTTCAATAAAACATTTATACCCTTTACTGTAGAGAAGGATATTTTTATAGAAAATTGTTACATTTCTGTAGTCAAAAGCTTTCATACAAGAATTGGCAATGCCAGAAGAATGGCAGCCCATAACTCTGCTCTACGTGCCAGGCCAAACAGTTTGAGCAAACCGAGGAGAACAGTGAACCGTGAACAACCAACCAACACAAAATTTATGATGAAAGCTGTAATCCTCGGGGCCCTGGCCGTCCCATGATGTTGGCACCATCATGCTTTAATATGGCGGCAGCACTGGCAAGAAATTCTCAACATGGAAGATGAACTGTTTGATGTTACTTACATTGATTGAATTCAATGTGCAGCAAAAAAATACAGCTGCAATTTCTCATTCGAAAGGGTATAGCATGTGATCTATCTGACCCTAACCTAATTCTCCTCTGTTGCAACATAGCCTAACAGGTCCACTACATCGGCCCTGCCAAGAGGGCTGGGGATTAGGAGACTTGAGAGAAACAGCTATCAATAATTTTCTACAATCATTCGAATCGAGTTTTACTTGGAGCATGTTGAATTGAGTTTTTGTCTAGTTCGGATCGTTTGCTATAATTTTTATAAATATGGATAAAACAAAATTTAGAAAGATACTCGAATTTTTGTCAAAATTTATAAGAATTACATCATTCGAATAGATATGAATAAAATTCAGCTAGACTTGCCCTGTATCCAATACATACAAAAATTTACGGCGTAGGTAATAATATTTTTTCCGCAATTAAGAATATCATGTCGGCCAAGTCGTTACTTTCATATTTGTGATGTCTGTGTATTGAATGGTATCATCAGAGCACTGAGGCAATC